AATTAAATACTTCATCTATTATTTTGTCTTAACTAACATTTGTTTTCATTCTGAAGATCTGGTGTCACTGTTGATTAGCAAAATTAGTTCTTTTATTTAGACGTTCTTAATAGCAGTTCTTTGTACTGTCAGCCACCCATTTGTTAGAATCTCACCTGTAAGAATGTAGTGTTGATAAAAATTATTTCCCTTTGTTGATAATATTTATTCTGTTCACCACCTTTCTGCTGGAAAATGTATCTAAATTTCAAGGAGAAATTTATTTATTCTGGGATTTATTTATTCTGTTCAACAACTTTCTGTTGGAAAATGTATCCAAACTTTAAGGAGAAGTTTTATTATTTGGGGTAAGGGAAAGAAGGATGTACAAAATGAGAGGATAAATGAAGAAAGAGCAAGGGTGGTTTGTCATGTAAAAGAGTGACACGCATTTCAAACGATCCACTTAAAATTGAGGCCAAGTTTTTCAACAGGCATATGTATCTCCCAGACGAATTGCAATCAGTTTTGTTTCTATTTCAGCTGATTTAAGTCCAGTCCAAGTTCCTCTTCTTCAGACTCCACTCGGACAGGGGACTGATAGCGAGTCTGACACAGATTCATCATCTGGTTTCTCCACTCCTGTTGCTACTTCAGGAGAGAGCACCAAAGAAGAAACTACCACAGAAAAACGTCCTGAACACGGTAATTTTCCAGCATAAGAGTGATTTCTTTTTTCAGAACAAAGTTAAATGGTACAATAGGCCGTTGAGAACTCGAAATTTATGCATAGAAAGGAGCTCAAAGGCAGAGAGTGACCAAGTCAATGGTCCATTTTACAGTTGCATGCTTGGTTGCCGAGCCTGTTAACAGGAGTGAGGCTAAGGGTGACTTTGTTGCCTTATTTGGCGAGGAAGAACTGATTTACAGTTCACATTGATAATTCCTGTTTTCCCCATTTTTAGTTTTGAATACAGTGGCTGCAACAGATCATTCACATGGAGTACAGGTACGGTGTGAGAACGACATTATATTGTCAGTGGTCTTATTAGCCAGAGAAGCCGCACAAAGTTTAACTTCTGAAAAAGGACTCTAACTGTGTAGCTTTTGGCATCTCATTTTCAGTGTGATTGAATGAAACCTCACATTTTCTATGCTATTGTCTTTGTCCCATTTCAGAGTGTCATTCAAAGACCCAAGGAATTCCAGCCTGACAGGTACAAAAACCTCTTGTGTTCAACTCCCCTGTGTTTTAGTAGAAGTAATAGCATGATTTCGAGAGCGATTTGGTGTTAATAAGCACGTGTAAATTTTGCAAAGACAACAAAATTGTACGAGCCCGTAGGGAGAGTGCAATTTGTAGTCTTTGAAAAATGTGCAAGCGGTCATTTACACCAAACTGCACGAAAAATCATGTTATTACTTATGTTTAATCCACATGAAAAAAAGCATCACAGAAAGTCGTATTAAACGAAATTTTGACAGCTCGCGCACGCTAGTTGTAATTTGCACTCGTATTACATGAAAAATGCACTCGTTTTCAGCCAATGAGAAATGCGGAATTTTTTCATGTATATTATTTCAATGAATATTGTCGAGTTGTGAAATGCATTACACACGAGACCAGCCGGAAGACCCCTATAAGTCCTTTTTTACATGACCTACCTACTCAATAAGGTAAGTACCCATGACCAACTGTCTCGATCAATCTCGCCTCAACTGAATTCAACCACGCAAAATTTCCAACATTACTAGACTGGTTCTAGGCATTAGGAAATGTGCCAGAATTTTGTTCTGAACACCTGTTGTGGTGATATTAGCTATCGGGGTTGCAGCGTTTACGCTGCGCCTAAAAGGGTTGTTGGATAATTAGTTATTATTTCCGATGTTTAGGATGTTTCTTGAAGCAATCGAAGAAAGTTTAGACTGCAGTGATAACGACGAGGAGGCACTCTTTGCAATTTGTTTGCTGTATGCAGCTATTGGTAATAAGGGTGAGTTATCTTTTTTCCCTTACCTTTCAAGAATCTGTTTTCTGCGCATGGCGTGTCAAGGAAACAACAACAAAAACATTCCCCCGCCCCCTCCCTCCGTTAACACACCTGTATCCCGATTAGGCGATAGAAGGAACAAGGAGTCTTTGCAGAAAGAGAACAGATATAAGGGAACAAATCATTCTGAGTTTTACTAATGCTTATAGTTGTTTTATTTAGCTAAATTCTTACAATCGTGTAGCAGACTTGTTCTAACGTCGTCTTCGTTTCTTCAGGTGTGGATAACAACTTACTTGAATCAGCAGGACTCTCCACAGCTGAGGTTTGTGGTGTTATAATCAGGTGTATCGTTTTGTAGATTCGTTGGCATAATAATAGTCCCTTTTGACAACCTGAGTGGAAGTCAACCTCAGAAGTGAAAGTGATAGAGCGCTTCTCGATTTAGGGTCGTAAGACCAAAAGCAGAGTAGTCTCAGTGGCCTATCAGATGAAGGGAATATACAATGAGGAGCCAATGAGAGCGCATGATAAAAACCGGCAAACTGCCAGAAGCGCGGGAAAATCAAGATTGACTTAGGTCTTACGTCTGATTGGTCGAGAGCGTGGTGTGATTTTTCTTGACCAATCACAGAGCGAAGTAAAGTGAAACCGAAGCCAAAGCAATTTCGGATTGTTTTTGTCACTCAGTTTTGGTCAATTTGTTGTACTGATTCAACCCGAGACTGCGCGTGAGTAGTTTTTTTTTTTCAATCCTGCAATCATATTCCCACATTCTTTATGGGAATGATTCGCCACCACAGTTTTGTAGCGTATAGTAAGTGGATTTTTCTGTTTTTGTTTTTCTTAGAGCAAAGTTCCTTATAACGAGCAACTTGTAGAAAGCCTCATTAGAATGTTGGAACTCGGCTATCGAAATGGTGAGTCAGAACTTTCAATTTTTTGCACGAGCGTGTTAAATAAACTTTTAGAAGTTCCAATCTATTTCCGTATTTGGTACTCTGTTTCTGTTGAGTTCTTCAGTCTTCCGTCTTAAACCGTGATTATGATGTTTTTGTTGGTTCTTTTGCCTGGTTTTCGATGTAGAAGGTAATAGAATTGTTGTTTTTCTCATTTATCGTCTCGGTAATACTAAGGTAAACTTGAAAATTGCTTTTCGATGAAAGAATCAAAGACATAAAATCTCACTGATCATCGGTTTGTACTTGAATGTATTTATTTTGTAGGGAGTCAAGTGCGCGTAGTAACATTAGAGATCGCCATTATACTGCTGAAGGAGCTGATTATGTATACAGTAGATGGCTCAAAGTGGAGCTACCTTAGCGATAGACACTTGGCTCTGATCGAGGTAAGAAACTCTGACGACACATGTCAGACGAATAAGAATGATTTCTTTAAACGGGTTTACACCGTAGTTAGATTTTTGTCTTCTCTTGAAGCCACATAGGAGTTTCTTGAAAAGTTCTTGAAAAGTGCTCCAACCAGTTGAACCACCCACCCTATGCCAGACGTTGGAGGCTTTTTCCCCACACTAAGTATTCGTTACATGCTGTCCGCGCTGACCGCCAGTTGCATGTTCCCCGCATCAAACATCAGTTGAAATCCGCGCCGAACTCTGATGTTTTCCTGCCTCAAGCCCCAGTTTCATATTTTCTTTTCAGAGTAGTAATTTCACTTATGTTTCGCGCGCTAATCACTATTTGAATACTTACCACCTGGTTTTTTCTTGATTAAGTCTGTCGGAATTCAAATACTGAATTTCTCATCGAGTTAATTCCGAGTGCTTTGAATATTTAGACTGGCTGAAGTCTTTCAATTCTCTTAGACCCAGATTTGTGGGTTTACACGGAAAAAATACCACCTTAGTGAAACAAATATCTCAGAATAATACCTAGACAGGGAAGAATCAATCTTCCTTTATTTACTTTTCAGAATGTTCGCGAGGCCAGTACGTTACAGTTGCGGCACTATTATAAGGTACAACATCACATGGCAGTTATGGTCTTCGATGTTTGCGAAGGCCTTTTGAAATAAGACTTAACCTTACTTTGCTGTTCAACTGTTATTTTGTGCACTTTCTCGGTAATAGAGCAGTTTTCAATCGTGTCTGTAGTTATCAGAGATGAGTTGGTTTAGCTTTACTACGCTCTGTGATTGGTCCAGAAAACTTGCGCCACTCTCTCAAACAATTAGATGCAAAACTAAAACCAGTCACGACTTGGTCACCCGCGTTTTCCCGCGTTTTTCCCGCGCTTTAGGCTGTTTGCTAATTTTTACTTTGAGTTCTTATTGGCTCTTCAAGGTATTTTCCATTCTTCTGATTGCCTCATTGAGATAACTTTGGTTTTGGATTTACGATACTCCATCGCCGAGAAACATTATTTTCCCAAGCTTAACACTTCTGATTTATCTTATAGGAAGATGAAATTTTCTTGGACATGTTTGAGGACGAGTACCGGCAAACAAAGGTGTGGCTTCGAAGTTGATAGTTAACTTGTAATTTTGTTATCTGAAAATTACAGTATTATTTGGCCAGAGGACTGGGTAATGGCAAGAATTGCAAAGGTGGGAATAATTTGATCCAATCCCGGGTAATTCAGTGGAAGTTGTCGTCCCCTGCCTTCTTATTTTGGTTTCGTTGCCTCTTTTTAGAGAAGCGCTTTACCAAGTGGAGAGATTTGAAACTCACATTCACAAATCCCTCGGCTTGTTACGCAGATTTTCTCTAAATTCATCCCTGAAAATGTTGGGATAGTGAGTAAGCTTGGGACCGTCTATAAAGCCGTAGTCTCTAGTTGTTTATAGCAAGTCTACTCGACATGACATACAATCGTGGGAGCCATGAATAAGTTCAATTACTTTCCTCAACTAGGTAAAGCCTCCCAACGTGCAACACTTGATGATGGATGCTACGCTACTCCTTCCTATTACGGGGACACCGCTGACCGGAATTGAGTTTTACAAGCGCCTGCCGTGTGGAGAAGTGGAACATACTCGAAGGGTGAGTTCTTTTTATCTTGAACTGTTTTCGGTGACGTTAGTGCCTCCAGCCTCATGTGAACTGTTGACCCTCAGTTTGACCCCTGAGAGTGACTAGCATCTAGATTCTCCTTACAATATCCCCCCAGAAACAGACGTAAAGGTCACGAGAGTAAAGGAAATGATCACCAATTAAAGATGTTCCAGATTGTTACACAAATTCTCCTTGTCAGCCTTATAAGAAATGTAAAGAGGAAAGTATTGAGAATATGCATACTGATGTTAGGGTGTAAAGGGTGAAAACTGTGGGGAGTGAGGAGGGGTTTGTCACCGAATTCATAGGGAAAACTTTTCGTGACAATGGAAAGGAGTGGTTTGTGTCATTGAAATTCAATAGAAGTTGTTATTGTGTTTTGTTCTTACGCGAAGCATTAATTTACTCAAAGAAGTCATATCCTCATAAGCCTGATATTTTTCAAGTTTGAAAGCAGCTTCAATATTTTTCAGGCAATTCGAGTGTTTCTGCTCATGAGAGACCTTTGCTTAGCACTGCTGGGGAAGAAAGAAGAGCAACTACCTCTATCAAAAGTTGAAAACTCTGTCCATTTGGAAGACGTCCTGGATTTAAGTGAGTCACACTGAAATAAGGTTATATGATTGTCACTTTATTATGCGCCGATCAAAACTGTAAAAAAGTTGTGGGAAGCATCTAAATGTTCTTCTTTTCGATCTTTAGATAACAGTGACCTGATCGCTTGTACAGTGAAGACAGAAGACAAGTAAGTTACATGCTTAAGCTTTAGAACCAGGAGAATGCCCTAAATCGAGATTTCGCGCAAGACATGGTGGCCTAATGATCTGTGCGCGCGTGAACTTGACTCTGGATCAAAGGATCGTGGCCTTCTTCTTTGTATTCTATTGTTGGAAAAACACGAGACACTCACGTTACTTCTTTACCCCAAAAGCCCGATCATAGCAATATCATTTTTGTTTCAATGTTTTGTAGGCAGCAGCAGCGCCGTTTCCTTGTGATAGACGAGGCTCAGTTTATACTGGTTGAACCAGACACCACCAAGTTGGGGTGGGGTGTGGTCAAGTTTGTCGCCAGACTTCAGGTAGGGGAGTTGGTTTGTTTTGTATCCTTTCTCTATCTTTTATCAATGACTGTCTTAGTGCGCATCTCCAATTTAGGGACTGCTGGGTGGTTTTGAGCTTCATTGATTTGTATTGAGAAATATATCCCTCTTGCACCTTTCCTTTACGATATTCTGGATACTCTGTGGGCAGATTTGGGAGCGAATGAAAGTGTAAATAAAATCCAGCAGTTCACAACCCCAGTAGCCCTTAGAGGTTGTGTTGCTCTGTGACTGTCCCCTGCACGGCAAGGCACCCATAAAGCAGAACAATGAGCTTTCTTTCTTTTATGCTTTTGTCATAGTAACACGGTTTTTATTTTGGGTTTTAGGATGTAGAGACAGCTCCCGATAAGGAAGACAGTCGCTCTTTATTCATCACCATACACCAGCCCAGCTCTGCCCGCAGCCTTACCAAGGTCCGCTCTCGCCCCATCTTGTCTGCCAAATTCATCTTTGATGATTATATCCGTTGCATGTCGGCTAAGCAGCGCCTCCAGAGGCGGCGAACGATGCTTAGACAACATAAACTGCACTGCATAGCTCAGCTGTTAGAACTGCCAGCTATGGCCTCTCCCCCGTCACACTATTATTCCATTACACCTCCGGCTTATGTTAATTTAGGCCCAGGACAACTCGAATCCCCGACAGATTCTCAAACAAACGAGTCCGCGAATGAGGGTGTTGACGGACCCGAGCAACCTCAAACGCATGCGCAGTCGATAGGTGATATGTCACAGGATGGCGCTCATGCTTCTTTTCCTGCAGCCATGCCTACGCCCGAACAGTGTTTGTCACCAGTCCACGGCACAGGACGACGAACAACTTCTCAGGCTGAGGCGTTAGCGAGCGTACTCGAACAGTCACCTCCGCCCAACAAAACGACTGTAGCTCGGACCATTTCGGTGGAGGAGGCAGCAGAAGCCATAGAAATGGAACTTACCAACTCGGTGCTTCAATCTGTTCAAGAAAATTGCTCTACCGGAAATTCCTCGCCTGTAGGAAACCTGTCACGCTCACAGTCTGCAGAAAATCTACGGCTTTTAACTGCCTGGAGAAATCCAGTATCACTATCGGCCCCTGCCACCCCCCGTGGGGATAGGCGCTCTCAACCAATCACGCTGGAGGAAGAGGATACCTTAGCAAAGGTAAATACTCAGAATTCAATGTCTGAGCCCGCAATATTTTTAAGTGGTCAGTATGATTCACCGGCGGCAACCGTCCATAAACCGGTCGAAAGAAAACTGAAAAGGACTGGGAACAGAAGAAGTGCACAGAAGGGAAAAGGAAGACAACGAAAAAGATGAATACTTTTTGACTTGCTTGAAAAATGATTCATAATGAATTATCTGTTGTAATGATTAAATGAAAGTAACTGCTTACGAACAGTAAAAGGACCTGAAATTAGGTAATGACACTGATATTTAAGACTTAATGCAATGGATGAAAATACTCCTTATTGGAAAACTGAGACGAGATGAAATTGGCCCATATTTAAAAGGATTAGAATAGATTTTATTAAATGTGAAATTATTCTTTTATCAGGAAGATAGCATTACTTGCTTTGATTTTACAAAAACTCTAAGTGAGTTGATAATAATTGTTTAAAGAAGTAACGTTATATTGGAGGGCTTTGTCACTACAGATCAGTCAACCTGTCCTAAAACTCGACTCTCCTAAATGACCGATTCAAATTATACAATGACAGTGAGGAGAGGCTAATGAA